AATAATTCATAGTTCATGATCATCTTGATATAAAAATTAAGTTCAAAAGATAAATATTGATGACAAATTACTTTTAATTAACAAAAAATGACTACTAATATTTTTACATCAAATATTATAATACCGTCATAATATATTAAAACAATATTTTAATGTATATAATAAGAAAAAAAATTTAATCTCAAAATGTTTAAAAATGTTGAATATATAATTCTGAAATCGAGCAATTAGTATCGGTACTTCGAAAAATTAATAATTGATATAAATATCATGTATTCGATGCTTCCTAATTTGTATGTTGCATCAATATATTGGGCAGTGTGTGTATGTCAGATTATTTTATAAATGCATTGCCTTCTCTAGTAGGCATTACATTTATAAAATGACCGACGTCTGACCAATACGTTGATGCAACATGATGTAACAAATAAAATAAAAAGATTATATACAAAGATAGATTATAAATTACGCAAAAACTATTTGCAAAGATAGATCATAGATTATGAGACAATTATATTCTATTTCTTTACGCATTGTATCCCAAGGGTAACATAAGGGTCACTCAAACAGCTCCATGGTTACTTTATGGTTAACAAATGATCCTTGAGAATAATGTCTTATAACAGTAAATGGCAGTCTTAATCTTAAACTCACAGAATGTGGAATAGACTAGCGAAAAGTCCATATTAGTTTACATACAAAGGAGGAAGAAACAAAAAGCAAGAAACTATTTAGAAAAGGCATCTTCGCAATCGCTCACATTAAAACTGAGAAGATACTTCCTGATGAGATACTTATATAATTAATAATGGGACTAACAATTTTCAAGCAGTTTTTCCACGACACTTCGTTGATGTTCAGTCCGTCGTCGAAATTCCAACGACAAATCGAAAGCAAAAAAGAAGAAAGGAGATGGTGGTTATTCTACGCCACAGATTTTCAATCCATGATGTATCCTTGTTTCATATTTTGCCGCATTCTTGGAATACTCCCATATAAGATCAACGCTTCATCCTTCGAAACTTCTAAATCTTATAATATTCCATCAACTATAATTATGTGTTTCTTCTGCTTTTGCGCACTGATAACAATATGTATGGAAAACATTTATGGATGGTTCTTTGAGAATGTACACAAAATTGAAATTAACTCTTTCTACATATTTGGCAGTTTCATAATGATCGTCACGTTCGTCTTAAGTAGTCCACGAATACGTTTGCTTCAAATCATACTCCAGATCTCTTCACGACTACCTTCAGAATCATATCAACAATTGTCTATGCTAATTCACGCCAAGGATATTTTCGGTTTTTCCTTCTTAATCATCCAATCATCGTTGTGTTATGATCCGAAATGCTCTATTGTGCTCTACTTATCGACAGTCTACATGATTCTGCTAGTGTTTGTGATGGATATGCTATACATAAATTGCGTTTGTGTATTAAAGGCTTGTTTCAAAACAATTAACGACGATCTGGCAAATTTGCTCATAACAAACAATAAATCGCATTCAGTCATGTGGATCTATCATGAGCAGAGGAACCATCTTTTGTTGATGGAGCTTAACGACTTGAAGAAGCGACATTTGATAGTTAGTGATATAGTACAAAGATTAAATATAATTTTCAGTCCGCAACTCCTCGCAACCATAGCCGTATCTTTCATCGAAGTGACTTTTGAACTATACTTCAATATGGTAGAATGGAAAAACGGATTGTATATTAACCTGGCTAAGCAGATTCATCACACTTATATACTGACCTACATCACGTATTATTTTGTAAAAATAGTGTTGATAGCATGGGCCTGCGAAACCGGCAAAAATCAAGCCAGAAAAATTAGCACTACTATTCATGACGTGCTTAACAGCATTAACGACGAGCAAATCAAATATGAGGTATTGAAAAATTACATTTCTATTTATTTTTTAAGTATTTCTTATATAGTACAAATTTTTTATATGTAAAATATAATCACTTTTTATAATCGCAATTTATAATCACTTTTCTTAAATCTATTTTAAATATTTTTTATTACAGTTTACTTAATAGTTTTTATTACAGTTGCACCTGTTTTCATTGCAAATAATGCATTGTGATAACACATTCTCCGCGAAAGGTCTCTCACTGAACGCGACGCTTGTCAGAGCGGTAAGTGATAAACCATTTATCATAATTGTTTGAATATTTTTAAATTAAATTCCAGCATTTAATTTATGATTTTTCTTTTAGATGATGGGTACTATCACTACGTATTTTTTAATTTTAATACAGTTCTTGATTTTGTCGCATTTTTGTGATGGAAAAACTGCAAGCAATGTTACACAAGCAATCTAAATCAGCACAAAGAATTTTATAAAATATACAATATATATAATCGGTAAAAGAAATTTATTTTTTAATATTGAAAATACTTTCTCTTTTTTATCATTGTGACTCTCTAATGTAATCGATCGATGTTTCATATTTGTGATAAATATATTTAAAGATATAACATAGTTATATTTGCTTTAAGATTCTTTTAAATTATCAAAGCTCTGTAGATAAAAACAAAATATATGCAACGTATTTTTACAACTATGATTATTTAGAAAGTATTTTTAAAGATATTTACAATAAATTTTTTTATTTAATACATGAACTATTTTTTATCATACTTCAATAGATTGTACCGAAAGTTAATTAACAATTATATCTAAAGTATAAATTTAATATTTAATCAATATTTTGTCTAAATACATTTACGATTCAAGTTTCGTTTATTTTTATAGAAAGTTTAATTAAATTTTATTGAAAGAAATGTATTATAATATAATTGGTACGTTATTATACTAATAACGCTCGCTTTTTTTATCACGTTTTCTTTTATTGTGCTCAAAATGTAAAAATCTAGTTATGTTAAGATAATTTTTTGTCCATAGATCATGCTGTACCTTTTTGAAAAATTAATAAAATCATTAGTTAGAATATTAAAATACAGTTAACTCTAATTTAGACATCTGTTTATATTAATTCTTATTTAAATAATAGTGATGCATTATAACTCAATTTTATTTACTTTGCATTCATTATATACAAGATACGTTCGGAAAGTATTCGACCTTACGCTATACGAAAAGAAAGACTACTGTTTGGATCAATAGCGATTATGTCCCCTTGAAAGTACTCTGTTTTGGAAGCCACACTCTTTTTTTAGCGCTGCTCCTACTTTCTGAAGCAGTCTTTTTTAAGAGCGTTTAAAATATCCAGCAAATGCCTCGTCGCATTTTGTCTTATGTCCTCCGTTATGTCCATCGTTAAATCTCTTTCTTTTTAAGGGTTTTTTAAATTTCGAAAATAGTCAGAAATCACACGTAGCTATTTATATCGAAAGACTAACAGACTTTGGATATCAGTATTTCGTAAAAAAATTGGAGATAATGTGGGCTCAATTATCAAGTTATCCGGATGAAGTACCAAGCTTTTTCACAAATGAGACCGTTTTCTTCTCACTGCATGATAAAAATTTATACAAATTCGTTACTTGACGTATTCGGTCATTAGAGAAATTAGAAATCCTGCATATTCACGATTTTGGATACTTATACAACTACGTACCATTGTTGACTGAAGGACTGGATTATGCCGTTTGACAGGACACTCACAAATAGAAATTCCCTCCATAAAAAACACTCGTGTTCTACAATGGCACATTCAATTATAAAGACATTAGCATAGGTCGGACTTTTCAAACAGATCTCGTATATATGTCTTTCGTTACAATGTCAATGTTACGCAAAATGCAAACATTATTTAATAGATACACAATATTACAACAATATACAATATTATATAGAAATCTAGATTAACTCATTATATCTTAATAGCCTCACCAAAAATAATTCGTAATTCATGAACGCCTCGATTAATAAATCGATAAATTAAACACATAAAATAAATATTAATAACCACTTCATCATCATTGCATAATAATGATAAGTACATGTTGCTCCAAGAGCTCCATGGTTACTTCATGCTAACAAATGATTCGTGAGTCATACTTTATGATCCGTAGGAGCAATTTGCAGTTTTAAACTTACATTCACAGCGAATAGTCCGTGACAGTTTCTGCATTCGTTCCGAAAAAACAAAAGTAAAAATTACACTTAGGAAAGAAGCTTTCAAAAATAATCATAATCACGATAGAATGGAAGTGCTCATTACTAGTAATGGAATATTTAAACAATTAATAATGTGACTAACAATTTTCAAGCAACTCATCCATGACACATCGTTAATCATATTCAATTTATCATTATCGAAATTTCAAGAACGAGTCAAGAACAAGATAGAAGAAAGAAGATGGTGGTTATTCAACGATACGGATTTTTCAATCCTTAATCGTCGTAATAATATCCTTGTTTCATTTTTTGCCGCATTCTCGGCATGCATCCATATCAAATCAACGTTTTATCCTTCGAAATTTCTAAACTATAATATATTACATTCTATCGACTATAACTGTATGTGTCTCCTGCTTTTGCGCATTGATAATAACAATAAACATTTCTGAATGATTCGGTTTCAATGAAAATATACGCAAAATTATTGAATTATTTCGTTCCAAATAATTGGCAGTTTTATAACAATCGTCACGTTCGTTTTAAGCGGTCCACGAATTCGTTTATTTAAAACCATACTGCAAATCTCTTCAGGATTATCTTCAGAATCGTATCAGAACCCGTCCGTACTAATTCATGCTAAGGACATTTTTGATTCCTTTTTCTTACTCGTATATACATTCAGCGGTTATTACAACTGGCATGTCTCCGTCTCGGTCAAGCTGTGTTTATTGTACTTCAATCTGGTAGCGTTTCAGATAAATATGTTGTATATAAATTGCGTTTATGTATTAACAGCTTGTTTCAAGAAGATCAACAACGATTTAGAAAATTTGTTCATAAAGTACAATCAACCACAATCAGGTGGTTCTGTCATAAGCAGAAAAATTCTTTTTTGATAATGGAGCTTAAAGCTTTGAAGAAACGACACTTGAAAGTTAGCGATTCAGTGCAGATGCTAAATATAATTTTTAGTCCACAGCTTCTCGCAACTATAATCTATATCATCATCGCCATTATTTTTGAATTGTTCAATATGATAGATTGGCAAAATGGATTGTCTATCAGTTGGATTAGACAGATTAACCACAGATGCAATGCCCTACGTTGTATTTTATGCTATCAGGATAGCATTGATAGCATGGGTCTGCGAAACTAGCAAAAATCAAGCCATAAAGATCAACACTGTTGTTCATGACCTGCTTAATAACACTAATGACAAGCAAATCAAACGTGAGGTATTGAAAATTTTAATTTCTATTCATTTTTTGTCATATTCCGTATCATGATACATTTTTTATATATGTACAGAATAAGATATTTAAAGTATTACAAGTTATGTAATTACACATCATTTTTTAAAAACAACTATATATTTTTTTTACACCAATTAATTCATGTCATTATTCTGTGCATAAAGATATTAAGATATGTTTATAACAAAATTATACTTTACGAAACATTTTATGTTCCAAAATAAAGTATAGATAATATATCTTGTAAATTGTCAATTTTTCAATATTCCTATCTTAATACTTTTATATGTAAAATAATTAGGGGAATCATATTATGTAAAGAAAAAAAAATTATATTATGCCATTTAAAAAAGTAAGGGCCGCCTCTAATGATCTTTGAGAAATCGTTCTTTTAAATTGATTTTATCATTATTTAAAATCAACTTTTGTCTAAACATATTTTTGATTCGACACGTACGTTCAGGGATAATAGCTTGTAAATGTTCAACCCTATAACTATGCAATTTATAATTACGTTTCCCAAATCGATTTGTAAATGTTTTTTTATTTAACATTACAGTTGCAGTTGTTTTCTTTGCAAATAATGCATCGTGACAACACATTCTCTGCAAAATGTCTCTCTCTGGACGCGACACTTCTCACAATTGAGTAAGCAATTAATACAATTGTTTGAATATCTTTAAATTAAATTACATTAGCATTTACTTTACAATTTTGCTTTTATAGATAATGGGTACTATCACTACATATGTTTTAATTTTAATACAATTCTTGATCGCATCGTATTCTTGTGACGGAAAGATTGTAAACAATATTACACAAACAATCTAAAATCAGGCATACAAGAAAATTCATAAAACATATAATCGATAAAAAATTTATTTTTTAATACTGAAAATATTTTTTTCTTTATAATTGCAATTTTTGTAATGCAATCAGTTAATGTTTTATATTTATACAAATATATTTAAACATATGAAGTAATTACTATTTGCTTTAAAATGTGATTCCTAATTTATCAAGGATTCTGCAAATAAAAATAGAATACATGCAAAACATTTTGGCATTATGATTACTTAGAATTTATTAGATACCGATTTATAATGAATTTCTATCTAATATTTTAACTAATTTTTATTTTGCTTCAATAATTTTTCGTTACTGGAAGATGAATAATTATATCTAAAGTAAATTTAATGTTTTAACGTTTAATTAAATATTTTGTGGAATTTCATTTGCACAAAAAAAAATTAAAAAAAAAAGTTTTATTATTTTTTATAGAAATAACTCCATTAAATTTTTGTTGAAAGAAATATAATACAATCAATACGTTATTACGATAGTAATGTTCGCTCTTTTTGCTACTGTTTTCTTCTATTATCTTCTTGAATTATTAAAAACTACCTTAAAATATTATCTTAAGATGAATTTTGTTTTTAGGTTATGTTGTAAAATTAAAGTTATTAGTTAGAATGTTACATTAATAATACTGTGCAACAATATTAGACCAAATAGCTTTACTTAGATAATTGTTTAAATTAATTCTAATCGAAATAATAGCATTATTATTTCATCACAACTTATTTTTATTAATTTTGCATTCATTATATTACATGTATACCTTTTGCTACAATGACAACGTTTCACAAAACAACTCTATTTAATAATAATAAAAGTATACAATATATATTATGCACATTAATACACAATATTATATGGAAATCGCAATTATTACATCGTAATAATTATATCATAATAGGATTGCCGAATAATAATTGTAGTTCATTCTGATATAAATCAAATTTTTAAGATAAATACATATCAATAACAAGTTTTGATTAAACAAAGAACTTTGTTGATACTAATATTTTTATATCAAATGTTATATATCATAATATATTAAAAACAATGTTATAATTAAAAAAATGTGTGCATTAAATAACAAGAAAAAAATTTAATCACGAAATGTTTAAAATGATGAATGTGCAATTTTGAAGTCGGTATTAACATATTTTTAAAAACTAATAATTTAACACTGTATTCGACAGTTTCTGTTTTATGTGTACAGATATGATTATTCTAATGAATGATCTATATGTGCATAATGATGGCTCATATGACAGCAATCATATTTCATTACTTTATGCATTGTATCCCAAGGGTGATACGTGTCACAGCTCCATGGTTACTTCATGGCTAACAAACGATCTTTAAGTCATGTCTTATAGCAGAAACTAGTAGTATTAATGTGACTAACTGGATGTGAATAGATCACAAAAAGTCTGTTAGTTTTTGCATACATTACGAGGGAAACGAAGCAGAAAATTACATTTAGAAAAGAAACCTTCATAATTACTCACTTAAAGTGCTCGTAATAAGATATTTGTATAATTGATAATGGAACAAACAAGTTTCAACCAGTTCTTTCACAATACTTCGTTGATGTTCAATCCATCAAAAGTTCAAGAACGAGTCGAAGACAGAAAAGAAGGAAGGAGATGGCGACTATTCCACGCCACAGATTTTCAATCTTTGATGTATCCCTGTTTCATCTTTTGCCGCCTTCTCGGAATATTTCCGTACAAAATTAACGCTTCATCTTACGAAATTTCCAAACCATGTCAAATCTTATGGACTGTCATTATGAGTGTCGTTTGTTTTTGCACACTAATGACAGTTTATGTGATCAAAAATTCTAGATGGTTTGAGACCAATACATTACGTAGAAGTATTGAGCTTTGCGTCTTCTATACATTTAGCGGTTTCATAGTGGTTGCTACATACATTTGGGATGGTCCACGAATGCGTTTACTTCAAACTATACTGAAGATATCTTCCGGATTGCCTTTGGAGACATATCGGAAACAATCTATGCTGATTCACGCCAAGGACATAGTGTGTTTCTTTTTCTTACTCGTGCAAGGATTGGTCTCTTTGCTCTACTTGGAATATCCTCCTTTGCTCAAGGTGTTTTCAATCTACATCACTATGTTAGTGCTTCAGATAGATATGCTATACATGAATTGCATTTGTGTATTAAAGGCTTGTTTCAAGAGAATCAATGACAGTTTGACAAATCTGCTCGTAATGAACAATAAACCACATTTATCCAGATACAACTACCAGGAACAGAGAAATTTTTTCTTGCTGGAGCTCAAAGCTCTAGAGAAACAACATCTGTTAGTCAACGATGCAGTACGGATGCTAAATATGATATTTAGTCTGCATCTCATTGCTACTATAGTTACAACCTTCGCTAGAATCACTTTCTTCTTGTATTATTGTATAATGTTATGGCAAAATATCTTCCAATTAACCAGTTCACAAAAACTGTTCTGTTACATATTTTTCATCGCATCCATGATGTTTTATTTAATGAAAACAGCACTGGTAGTATGGGCATGCGAAACCGGCAAAGATCAAGCCATTAAGATTGGCATTATTATTCACGATGTACTCAACAGCATTAATGACATGCAAATTAAAGATGAGGTAATAAAAATGATAATTTAATTTGTATACTGTTTAAAAAATGTCTCATATGTTATTGTGCTTTTTTGTTTTTTTGACATAATTACGATCTGACGTTACAGTTGAAGCTGTTTTCTTTGCAAATGTTGCATACCACTCGTCGAAATCCATTCTGTGCGAAGGGTCTCACTGTGGGTGCGCCGCTTTTTACTGCTGTGAGTGATCAATCATTTGCCTTTATTTAATTTAATATATATTGCATGTGATTTTGCTTTTAGTTAATAGGTAACATCACTTCATATCTATTAATCTTGATACAATTCATGAAAATGTTTATTTCTTGCAATGAATAGTTTATAGTTCACAACATTATACAGATAACATGATTGAATAAAGATATGAAAGACGAAGAAAAGAATATATTTCTAAATATTAAAAATATTTTTTATTTATAAAGCATAATCGTTCGATATTCTTTACTTGTATAACTAGCTGCACATATATACAATATGTATAGAAGCGTTTAAAAATGTTACACTAAATGTATGTTAACAATAAACAGAAAATAAATATATATTAAATGAGATACTTATTATTAATAAAAAATAAGTAATGATTAAAATTTGACTTGCGATAGTTGTAGAATTTTTGCATTATATATACTCGATAGACGAAGAGGAAGAGAATCTTTTTTCGTTGAATAACGAAATATTTGCATAATACGAGACAAGATTGTTCCGCGTTACGAGTGTCGATGATACGATATCGAGAGCGAATGAATTTCATTACAGCCGGCGGACGCGTTTAATGCCGAGCAGCTCCGGCGGTGTAAAGGCCTGGATAGGCCAACTCAGCACCCTGATATTTCTTTGAATAGAGATCTGTGTCGTGCGATAGGCTCGTATAAAAGACGGGGGTGAAGACGGAAGGAACTCCACCTCTATCTTGCCCTTTCATTCGCCCGCTCCTCGTCGCCGTAGTTCTAATGTCACTTAGCATATCACCACTCTCCGTTCCTTTAGACTCAAATTTTCACGCTCTGCCTCTTATAGATAACTCCTGGAGCTCTAAACTCGTTAGTAAACCAAACTAATACTCATTGCAAGTGACACCAAGTGTGAAATGAAGTAACACAATCTTGAAACGGAACGTACGCCATCATAATTAAAGTATAAATGTCGAAGTGGATCTCGTTAAACTTTACCTGATTTAATATGATTCCATAGCTAAATTTCTATCAGATTATTAAACTAAAATTAAACATGTAGAATGTATATATAATATAATACAATGACATTGTATAATTATTTAAATTTTCATCATAACTAAAACATAATATCTCTTCTCTCTGTTAACAATCACAAGAATCGTTTCATTTCCTTAATTAACTAAATCTTGCTAAATTACAATTATTACTATTATAATTATTACTTTCTCTTTTCCAATCTCTCATTATTCGCTACTGTTATACCATTATTATTTAATTAATCCCCACGTTGCTCGAAAGGGATTAATCCTCTGGGACGCAATAAACGTTTTATATCTACGTCTATGTCCGATCGGGCGAGGTCGTGTCAGAACCGCGGAATAGCACTGTAGCACTGAACTCGACACGAGTAACCCGGGAATAATCCGTCACCATAAAAACCGCGCCTGCTACAAGTCCCAATGGCGGAACGACGAGGACATTAAATCCCGACAACATGAGGCATTGAACCGGATGGACAACACAGTAGAGAAAGTGAACCGCGCGAAGGTATGTACACTGGGAGCGGAACGAAAACCCACGGCAAACTCAATTTTCCGTGTTAACTTGGTCGACGAAGAGGTCGCAACGAGAGTCCGGTCTGATCGCTTAATATTCATGGAGGCGTGGCAAGCAGGTTTCAGTGTTTCTCTTCGGTCGGCCAAGTGGGTTTATGGTTGTTTCCACTTTGAAACGACCCGTCGCAGATCGGGCGAGTCATATGGCGCGTTTCACCCGCGAGAATTTGCACCCCAACAGCCTTTACTTATGTCAACACTCGCGAGACTGCGAGACTAGAGAAGATTTGTTGGGTAAGCCACGTACGCGTTGAATAAGAAAGAAGCAAAAGAAATTTCTTACTACTTTCCATTTTAAAGAACTCATCTTGAACACGTAATCAATCGAATGTTTCAGATTAAATGGGCAATTTATAG